CCCCCCCAAAGGTCCCCAAACCTCTCCAAAGTTCGCTCCACACATCCCCCACCCCACCTCCAAACCGTCCTCCAAAAAGGCCCTCGAAGCGTCCCCAAGTCTCCGCAGCCCCACGAGCTCCCCAAAATCTCAAGGCACCCTGCAGTCGCTCCCCACCTCCGCCACCCACAGCCCCCAATGGGGCGCCCCAAAGACCCCCCGCCGCCCCCCCTTCTGACCCCGTTCCTCCCCAGGCCACGTTCTCAACATGCCGCACGACGACTCGCAGCGCTGCGTGGAGCTCAACGGCCCCGCCGGCTCCTCGCGCCGCGTGATGGCGCCGGTGCTGGGTTCGGTGCCGCCGGGCGAGATGTGGTCCCCGTGCAGCGCCCGCTTCCTCACCGACTTCCTGGACGACGGCCACGGTACGGCCTCACCTCGTCCCGTCGCTTTGGGGACGTCCGCTCGGCTCTGCCCCGTCCCCGCTGCGGGGCTCAGCGCCGCCTCCTCCTCGCAGGTCGCTGCCTTTCGGACAAACCCACCGAGTGGCTCCGGCTGCCGGCGGCGCTGCCCGGCGCGGCGTATCCGGCGGATCGGCAATGCCAGCTGGCGTTCGGCCCCGAGTCGCGGCACTGCGGGGACGTGCGGCCGCCCTGCGCCGCTCTGTGGTGCAGCGGCCTCGTCGGAGGGAGAGCGGTTTGCCAAAGCAAGCATTTCCCGTGGGCTGACGGCACGCCGTGCGCGCCGGGACGGGCGTGCGCCAGCGGGGAGTGCGTGGACGCGGGCACCGCGGAGCGGCTGCGGGTGAGCGCTGCGGGTCGGCTCGGAGTCGGAGCTCGGCGGTGCGGTTTTGCCCCGCGGGTCGCTGCGGGGGGGGTCCCGGCGTTGGGCGCACGGGGTGGTTTTTCCTTGCGGAACCCGCGGTTTGACCCCAGCGTGGGGCTCGTGGGGGGGTTTTCCCCTAGGAGCTGCGGGCAGATCGCGGCGTTGGGTTCACGGCCTGCTTTTCCCCATGGATAAATCCCGGCGTTGGGGGCGTGGGGCGGTTTTTCCCACAGATCCCCACAGACGGACCCCGGTTTGGGTATTTTTGGTGTTTTTTCCCCACGGATGGGTCCCGGTGTCGGGTTCACAGCGTGCTTTTCCCCATAGCTCCCCATAGATGGATCCCGGCGTTGGGTTCACGGTGTTTCTCCCCCCAGATCCCCGTGGACGGCGCCTGGGGGCCGTGGGCTCCGTGGAGCGCCTGTTCCCGCAGCTGCGGCGGCGGCGTCAGCTCCTCGCACCGCTTCTGCTCCCGGCCCGCGCCGCTCAACGGCGGCCGCTTCTGCCGCGGGGAGCGACTCCGCTTCCGCTCCTGCAAGGCGCAGGATTGCCCCGGCCGCAGCGGTGAGTGGCGCCGAGCGGCGGGGCGCAGCGCGGAGCTCCGGGCCGCCCGCGGTCGCTAACGCGCCCCGTTCGCCCCCAGCCCCCGCCGCGTTCCGGGAGGAGCAATGCGCGGCCTACAACCACCGCGTCGTTTCGGCGGCGCTGCCGGCGGTGGCCGATTGGGAGCCTCGGTACGGCGGCGTGGCCGAGGAGGACCGCTGCAAACTGACGTGCCAGTCCCGCAGCCTGGGCGTTTACCACGTGCTGCGGCCGCGGGTGAGTTTCCCCCCTCCGGCCCTTCCGCCCCCCGCGGCGCCGCTCCGTGCCGACGCCGCGCCGCTCCGTGCCGCAGGTCGCGGACGGGACGCCGTGCTCGGCGGAGGGCGGCGGCGTTTGCGTCAGGGGCCGCTGCGTCCCCACCGGCTGCGACCGCGTCATCGGCTCCAAGAAGAAGTTCGACAAATGCATGCGGTGCGGCGGCGACGGCTCCGGCTGCACCAAGGTGTCCGGCTCCTTCGCCGCGCCCCGGTGAGCGCGCAGGGCGCGGGGGCACCCATGGGTGGCGGGGCTCCCTTCCCGCGGCCCCTCCGACCCCGCAGAAGCCCCCGTTGCTCCTTGCAGCCCCGCGCCCTCCTCACAACCCCCCACCCTCTCCATCTCTTCTCCCGTCCCCCGCCATCCCCCCTGCTGGCTCTGCCATCCCCTCTCCGTCGCCCCTCCTGGCCCCAGTTTCCCCCCCCCATCCCCTCCACCTCGTTTTCCAACCCTACCGTCCCCTCTCCCGGTTCTGCCACCTCCTCCATCACCCTCCCTGGCCCCGATCTCCCCTCCAACATCCTCTCTATCCCCCCTTCCGACCCATTTGTCCCCTCCATCACCACCGCAACCCCACCATCCCCTCCACCGCTCCTCCTGGCTCCACTTTCCTCTTCGCTGCCCCTCCGTCCCCTCTCGACGCATTTATCCCCTCCATTTCCCCTCCTGGCCCCACATCCACCCTCCAATCCCCACCCCCAGCTCTTCTAACCCCCCCCTTCCCCTCCAATCGCCCCGCAGCTACGGCTACAACGACGTGATCACCATCCCGGCGGGCGCCACGCACCTCCTGGTCCGGCAGGGCTCCCCGCACGGCGCCCACGGCGACAGCGTCTACCTGGCGCTGCGGAAGCCCTCCGGCCAAGCTCTGCTCAACGGCGGCTTCGTCCTGGTGCCATCAGAGCACACGGTGACGCTGCCGGGCGCCGCGACGCTGCGCTACAGCGGTGCCACGGCCGTCCCCGAGGTGCTGGCGGGCCGGGGGCCGCTGCTGGAGCCGCTGGTGCTGCAGGCTTTGGTGGTGGACGAGAAGCGGCCGCCCCGATTGAAATACAGCTTCTTCGTGCCCCGAAAAGCGGCAGCGGCGGCGTGGGAGAGACAGAAGGCGGAGATTCTGGAGATCCTGCGGCGGCGCCGGCCGTAGCCGCGCGTTTATTGGGTTCGTCGTGTCTACCTCAGCCCCTGCCGGGGGGCTCGGCCCTGGGCTGGCCTCGGGGCGCCCCCACAACCCCCCCTCTGTGCGCCTCCTGGGGGGCGGGGGGTTATTTAAAGCTATTTATGGTTCTCTGCTCTCTGCTCTGGGGTCATTGCGCCCCCCCTGTGCGCAGTGGGGCTGAGCCGATCGCCGATCCCCCCCACGGCACCACCAACACCGGGTGCAGAGGGGTTGGTTGGGTGCCCCCCCCTCCTTGGTGCCACACAGCGTCACGAATCGGGGCCATCCCTGAACCTCTGTGGGGTGTTGGGGTGCCTGGACTTGGAGGGCTGAGACCCCCTGGACCTCAATCTATGGGGCGCCTGATCTGTGGGGCAAGACCCCCTGAGCACGGACCCACGGATGCCCCAGCACCTCTAGGAGGTGGCCAAACTTTGGGGCCGGACCCCCTGAACGCAGAGCTGGGCTCTCAGAACCTCTCCTGGGTACCCAAACTTTGGGGCATCAGCACCCCTTGGGCACCAACACCCCCCCTCCCCCAGCCATTCCATGGGGCTCAGACGTCGCCGTGGGGCAGGAGGCCGTATGTGGGGCGGGATGGGGGGCTGCAGGGGCAGAGCCAGCTGAGCACACAGCCCGCCCCAAACACCTCCTGCAGCGCTGCTGCCCACGCTCGTCCCCCACGCGCCTCCTTCGAGCCCCGCTTGTGGGGCTGCTCCGTGAGGATGGACACCACCTATGGGGTTGGGGACACAGACGTCACCGCCCGCCCCACATACAGCCTCCTGCCCGCCCCACACCTCCGCACCGACCTGATCATAAAACACAACGGTGACAAAAACGCCAAACAGGAGGGACTCCAGCAGCAGCACGACGCAGTGAGTGCTGTGGGACAGCAGTGGGGCTGAGGGCCGATGTGGGGCGGCCCCCGGTGCCCCACATTGCCCCACACTCACGTCTGGATGCGGTTTTCGGCGCCGTCTCCTCCTGATGGTCCCAACCACGCAGCCAACACCAACCCCGCCGCGTAGGCGCTGGTCAGGCCTGGTGTGGGGCGAGCAGGGAACCCACAGCTGTAGGGCTGAGCTCTGGGGTCGAGCCCCACATCCCACAACTTACCCGTGTAAAAGAGGAACTGGATGAAGTATTTCTGGTTCAGTTCCCCGATGCAGTTATTTATCCTGCAGACAAACGGGGCTGAGGACACCTCCGCGTCTGCTGTCCCCATCCTTTGGGGTCTGGGGGTGTCCTAATGAGGGGGGGGGGGGGACGCCCAGACACCCACCAGGGGCAGTGGTGGTCCATGCGGCGCACGCAGCGGTGGCACACGCGGCAGTGCTGGGCACGGGGAGGCCGATACGCCTCACAGCGACTGCACAGCGTCCACTCATCCGAGTCCTGGGGGAAGGGGGGAAGGAATGGGGCAGCACTCGGTGTAGGGCCCCCACCCCATAGCAGCAGCCCCCAGGGGCTCACCCGCTCCGTTGGGTGCAGGTCTGAGAAGTCGATGGCGGTGCCGGGAAGGGGAACCACACCTGGGGGTTGGGAGTGGGGTGAATGCTTGCTTTATTGGGACCCCCATATCAATAAATGGGGGGGGACCCCTATGAACGTAAGTTTGGGTGGCACTCACCGGGGTCGGCAAAGACGGCGCGGGTGTGGGAGGCCAGAAGCAGAAGCACCAGGAGGTTGAACGTCACTGCGTGGATGGGGCACCATGGGCTGAAGGGTGGGGGGCACACGGTGACCCCCAGCACCCAGAGCCCCGCAGGGCCCCTGCACAATCACTGCCCCACGGCCCCGGATCGCTGCGGGGATCCCAAAGACCTGCGAATCCCATGCAGCCTCGGGGATCCCATAGACACAGCGCCCAGAGCCCCACCGAGACCCCATAGACGCGGTGCCCCACGGACCCCGAGCCCCGTGCGGACACCACAGCCACCGGGCCCCGCGGATGCAGGAGAGAACCCTGCACCCCATGGGCCCCCCAGGACCCCGAGCTCCCCATGGCGGCACCCAGGGCGTCCCCGCAGCCCACTGGAGGATCCCGCAGGGCCGAGCCCCGCAAGGAGCCACGAAGCTGAGGGGGTCCCGGTGCCCCCGCAGACCCCACACCCCGCCACAGGCCTCGCTGCCCCCCCATAGGGCGCCCCACAGCCCCGGCTCCTCCCTTTGGCACCTGGCTCGCAGCGCGGGCTGCGGCAGGACGTGGGCGAGCACGGCGTAGTCGGCGTAGCCCACGCTGAGGTAGGCGAGCAGCGGGCAGAGCGCGCCGCACGGATCCCGGCTGCACCGCTCTGCAGCCGCCGCCATCATGGCGTTAACCCCCCCCCGCCACTCCGGCACTTCCGGTCCGCGAGCAGCACACCGACCAATCAGAGAGCCTACTTCTTGCTACGTCACCGGAAGGGGGCGGGGCAGAGGTGAGGCGCTCCGTTGCTGTGGTAACGGGGGGGGTCGGAAGTCTCCGTTCTGTCCCCACTCGGTGCCCCTGGCGGCCCCGCACTTTCCCCACCATTTACCCGCCTTGTCCTCCTCCTCCACCCCACGCTCTTCCCACATTTCCCCTCCCGTCCTTCTTACCCCCTCTGTCCCCGCCCCCTTTAAGCCCCACTCGCTGCAAGCTAACCCACCCACTAAACCACGCCCCTTTCCAAAGCACCGCCCAATCAAATCCCGCCCTCCTCGAGCCCCTCTTACTACCCCCGCCCATCTTCTGCGCATCGCCCAATCAAAATCCCTCCCCCTTCAATCCCCTCCTACTACAGGCCAACTCACCCTCTACGCCCCAATCACCGCCCAATCAAATCCCGCCCCTTTAAGCCCCGCCCCTCCCCTCCCCCCCCCCCCCCCCCCAGCCAAGATGGCGGCCGCCGGGCGGCGCTGACCGCTGGGGGGCCGCGTCTGCACCCACCGGGGGGGCCTCGCCCCGGTGCCCCCCCCACCGCCACCCCGCGATGCTGCGGCGGCTGTTGGAGCGGCCGTGCTCTCTGGCCTTGCTGATCGGCTGCCAGTTCGCTTTCGTCGCTTATTTTTCTTTGGGGGGGTTCCGGAACCTCACGGCTCTTTTCGGTCGTTCTTCCCCCCCCCGCCGTGGATTATTCCCGCACTCACGACGTTTACGCCAACCTCAGCCGGCTGCTGCCCCAAGGAGCCCTGAGGGACCCCGCCGAGCCGCTGCCCTACTGCCCGCAGCGCTCACCCCTCCTCCGTGAGTGGGGGGGAGGGGGGTCAGAGGTCAGAGGGTGGGGTCACGCGTGGGGTCACGGGGCGTCAGGCGGGGGGAGATAGGAGCTGTTTGTGCCGTTGGTTGTGGGGCGAGTGGGACCCCCAGGGCCTGGTTGGGTGCCGTTGGATATGGGGTGGTTGGGACCCCAGTGGCTCAGTTGGATCCATTGATTATGGGGTGGTTGGGATCCTGGTGGCTCAGTTGGGTGCCATTGGTGATGGGGTGATTGGGGATCTACACGACCCAGTTGGTGTCATGAAGTATGGGGTGGTTGGGACCCCCATGACCCAATTGGGGCCACTGGATACGGGGTGGTTGGGACCCCCGTGACCCAACTGGGGTTATTGGATTTGGGGTGGTTGGGACCCCAGGGCCCAGTTGGTGCCCTTGACTACAGGGTGGTTGGGACCCCATAGGCCCCACTGGATTTGGGGTAACGAAGGCCCCCGTGACTCCACCGGTCCCCATTGGCTCCCTCCCCCCTCCCTGCCCCCACAGTCGGCCCCCTGACGGTGACCTTCAGCCGGGTGCCCACCCTGGAGCAGATCCAGGCCAAGAACCCTGCGGTGCAGCCCGGCGGTCGCTACCGGCCCCAAACCTGCGAGCCTCGTTCCCGCACCGCCGTCATCGTCCCGCACCGCAACCGCGAGACGCACCTGGGCCACCTGCTCTACTACCTGCACCCCTTCCTGCAGCGCCAGCAGCTGCACTACGGCATCTACGTGGTGCACCAGGTGGGGGCGCCCTGCCGGCGCTGCGCTGCGCTTCCTCGGCTGTCCGTAGGGCCGCCTGGAGCCCCTGCTGGTGGGGGGGGCTGCGCGATGTCGCCCCCCAGCGGTGGCGTGAGGTTACTGCTGCCCCGTGGGGTTGTAGGGCTGCCCCATGATCCTTATTGTAGGGTCACCCCATGATATTGTAGGGTCACCTCATGATCTTTATTGTAGGGCCGCCCCATGATGTTGTAGGGTCATCCTGTGTTATTATAGGGTCATCCCATGGTGTTGTAGGGTTGCCCCATGATCCTTATTGTAGGGTCACCCCATGATATTGTAGGGCCGCGCCATGATATTATAGGGCCGCCCCATGTTATTGTAGGGTCACCCCATGATATTGTAGGGCTGCCCCATGGTATTGTAGGGCCGCCCCATGATCTTTATTGTAGGGTCGCCCCATGATGTTGTAAGGTCGCCCCATTGTATTGCAGATTCGCCCTATGATATTGTAGGGCCGCCCCATGTTATTGTAGGGTCACCTCATGATCTTTATTGTAGGGCCGCCCCATGATGTTGTAGGGTCATCCTGTGTTATTATAGGGTCACCCCATGGTGTTGTAGGGTTGCCCCATGATCTTTATTGTAGGGTCATCCCATGTTATTGTCGGGTCTCCCCATGTTATTGTAGGGTCACCCCATGATATTGTAGGGTCACCCCATGATATTGTAGGGTCACCCCATGGTGTTGTAGGGTTGCCCCATAATCCTTATTGTAGGGCCGCCCCATGTTACTGTAGGGCCACCCCATGATCTTTACTGTAGGGTCACCCCATGTTATTGTAGGGTCGCCCCATGATGTTGTAGGGTCCTCCTGTGTTATTATAGGGTCACCCCATGTTATTGTAGGGCCGCCCCATGATCTTTATTGTAGGGCCGCCCCATATTGTTGCCGGGCCGCTGCTCATCGCAGGGCCGCCTCCCCCGCCCCCTTGAGGTGGGGCCGCCCCATTGCTCACCCCGTCCCTCCTCCTCTCGGCCCCCAGGCGGGGAACGGCACCTTCAACCGCGCCAAGCTGCTGAACGTGGGGGTGAAGGAGGCGCTGAAGGACGAGGAGTGGGATTGCCTCTTCCTGCACGACGTCGACCTCATCCCCGAGAACGACCACAACCTCTACACCTGCGACCCCTGGAACCCCAAACACGTCTCCGTCGCCATGAATAAATTCGGGTACAGGTGAGCGTTGCTGCGACCTGCAGGGACCCTTCCGACCCACCCTGCTGTGACCCCAATGTTCTGTGATCTTTTAGGACCCTCTCGACCCAACCGTTCCGTGATCCCATGGTTCTGTAACCTTTAAGGACCTTCCCAACCCAACTCTGCTTTGATCCTGTTGTTCTGTGACCTTTAAGGACCTTCCCAACCCAATCATTCCATGATCCCATTATTCCATGATCTTTAAGGACCCTTCCAACCCAACCATTCCATGATTCAATGGTTCTGTAACCTTTTAGGACCTTCCCACCCCAACCATTCCATGATCCCGTTGTTCTGTGACCTTTAAGGACCCTTCCAACCCAACCATGCTGTGATCCCATTATTTCATGATCTTTTAGGACCCTTTCAACCCAACCATTCCATGATCCCGTTATTCTATGATCTTTCAGGACCCTCTCAACCCAACCATTCCATGATCCCATGGTTCTGTAACCTTTTAGGACCCTTCCAACCCGACCCTGCTGTGACCCCAATGTTCTGTGGTCTTTTAGGACCCTTCCGACCCAACTGTTCCATGATTCCATTCTTCTATGGTCTTTTAGGACCTTCCCAACCCAACCATTCCATGATCCCATGGTTCTGTAACCTTTAAGGACCCTTCCAACCCGACCCTGCTGTGATCCTGTGCTTCTTTGATCTTTAGGGTCGCTCTCAACCCAACCATTCCGTGATTCAATGCTTCTGGGATCTTTAAGATCCCTTCCAACCCAACCATTCCATGATCCTGTTGTTCTGTGACCTTTAAGGACCCTTCCAACCCAACTGTTCCATGATCCCATTCTTCTATGGTCTTTTAGGACCTTCCCAACCCAAACATTCCACGATTCAATGGTTCTGTGATCTTTCAGGACCCTCCCAACCCAACTGTGCTGTCAGTCTGTGGTTCTTTGATCTTTAGGGTCGCTCTCAACCCAACCATTCCATGATCCCATGGTTCTGTAACCTTTTAGGACCCTTCCAACCCAACCCTGCTTTGATCCCATTGTTCTGTGACCTTTAAGGACCTTCCCAAACTCAATCATTCCATGATCCCATTATTCCATGATATTTAAGGACCCTTCCAACCCAACCATTCCATGATCCCATTCTTCTGTGATCTTTCAGGACCCTCCCAACCCAACCGTGCTGTGATCCCAACGTTCTGTAACCTTTCAGGACCCTCCCAACCCAACCATCCCACAGCCCCACGACCTTTAAGGCCTCCCCCCAGCCCCAAATCCTCTCTGTCCCCCCAGCCTGCCGTACCCGCAGTACTTTGGGGGGGTCTCCGCTCTCACCCCGGATCAGTACATGAAAATCAACGGGTTCCCCAACGAATATTGGGGTTGGGGCGGCGAGGACGACGACATCGCCACCAGGTAGGAGCGCAGCGGGGGGCCGCAGCTTCGCCCCGGCGCCGCCCGTGGGGCCGCGGTGACGTTTATGGGGTCGGGTTTGGGGGGGCGGGGGGGGAAAACCCCACATCGCAGGGTGCGCCTGGCCGGGATGAAGATCGCCCGCCCGCCCGTCTCCGTCGGCCACTACAAAATGGTGAAGCACAAAAGCGACAAAGGCAACGAGGAGAATCCGCACAGGTGAGGAGGGGCGGCGACGGGGGGCCGCCGTGGGGCCGCCGGCCGTTATTTCAGCCCCCCCCTCCCCGCCGGGCGCCCAGGTTCGACCTGCTGATCCGCACGCAGCGCACGTGGACGCAGGACGGCATGAACTCGCTGAGCTACAGCCTGCTGGCCAAGCAGCTGCGCCCGCTCTACACCAACCTCACCGCCGACATCGGCGCCGACCCCCGGGCGCCGCGCGGCCCCCAGAGCCCCAGGAACCCCAGCGACCGCCTCAGGGAGGAGATGCTGCGGAAAATCCCAGCCTTGGGGGCTCTGGGTTTGGCGCCGCCCCGCATCCCGGCCCCGCAGCTCCTCGCGGCCGACGGCACCCAAAGCGCCGCCGCCGTCGTCACCCCACGCGGCCCCACGGCCGACGGCGCCGCCACGGAGCCGGGGAGCCTCGTGACGCAGGGGGGCAACCACAGCCGGCCCCACGGCTCCCCGTAGCGCCAGGGCCTCCCTCTGCCCCCCCCCCCCCCCCGGCACGCGGCCGCCTGGCT